AGAAATGCCACTTGTTCTTCTGAGATCAATTTTGGCAAAATATATACCAATCTATTCAAAATAATCTTAGCAGCCACCTTGTACACGGTCTTACAAAGGATGATTGGCCTATAGTTGGTGGGAATCAATGGGTTGCTCGCTTTAGGGATAAGCATAATTAAGGTTTCCTTCCGCTCCGCATCCATAATGCCAGAATTAAAGAACTGTATAATAGCATTCCAGAAATCTATCTTAATAATTTCCCATTATGCTTTGATAAAAGAATAAGATATACCATCATTTCCCGGAGCAATGTTACCACTAGCTTGGGAAACAACTCCCTCAATCTCCTCCCAAGGAACAACCCTACTTATCCAACTTCTATCGGTTTCATCAAGAGAATTTAAGGGAGCTGGCCAACCTTCAAGAACACAATCTCTCTCCTTCCATTTTTCATTAAAAAAATGGATAAAAATGTCTTCAATATGATTTTGGTCTTCCACCAATGATCCATTGTCATCTTCAACTTTAAAAATCCAATTAGAATTTCTCCTTGCACTAGTAAATGATTAAAAAGAATTGGAGTTAGTGTCTCCCTCTGACATCCATTTGACCTTAGCACGTTGCCTCCACCAAGTATTCAACCGAGCCAAAGTAGAATTCAGCTCAGAGACCTTTACCTTGAGCTACCAGCTATCTTCTTTCGAGAGGTTTCCCATTTCTGATTCCTTTAACTGTAACTCCAAAATCTCTTTCAAGAGACCATCCTTCAATAGAATAAAGTTCTTCACCTTGTCTTTACTCCAAAAGAACAAAGATTTCATAGCTCTCCTGCACTTGGTATTAAGAACTTCAGAACAATTCCCATTCACCCTCTTACTCCATGCATTCCTGACCACAACATAAGAGACCGGAAAAGAAGCCCAAACATTCTCTAATTTAATAATCCTCTTAGCTAAAGACTTGATCTCTAGAAGATTTAATAAAACGGGACAATGATCTAAAGCAATTCTTGCAAGATGCCTAACCACTAATCGATGAGAGGAATTGATTGCAGTTGAATTAAGAAAACACCTGTCCAACCTTTCCAGAATCCGAGCCCCGCAAACCTTATTATTACACCAAGTAAATTTTGGACCAATACAACCAACTTCATGAAGATCATTGTTGATAAAAAAGGAATTCATATCCTTTGGACCTTTAGAGAAGGTAAATCTCTTGCCACCCATCTTCTCCTCTTTAGATAACAAACAATTAAAATCACCCCCCTACAACCATAGACACATCTTTGGAAGAGAAAACTTGAATTCCCTCCAAAGCTCCCTCCTTTTATAAACATCTTTGCTCCCATAAACAATTGAAACCCTCCATCAACTCACCAATCACAGCTTGGTAAGAAGAATTTAAAATAGAAAAGGAAGCCATGGAAGACTTCCACAGAACTAGAATACCTCCAGACAACCCATCTGCTGGAACATGATTCTAGTCCCAATCCGCACCAATCAAATCATCAATTACCTTTCTATCCAAAGAAGACAACTTGGTTTCCAACAAACCAACAAAAAAACCCCATTCTCCTTAACAAACTCCTTAAGATAAAAGAGAAGCTTGCTTCTTCCTACCTCCTCTACAATTCCAAAAAGCAATTGAATCCATTAATTATTAAGAGGGGAAGAATTCCCCACTTTATCTTTCATCTTCCCATCCAATCTTCTACTTCTAAGATATAACTTTATAGGACACAGTCCTCTAAGTTCTTTCGAGAGCTTCTTCTTTACACAAGAAGAATTTTCCTCCTTACATCCAGATTCCACCTTAAGCTCAACTCTACCTTATGGAGAAACCACACCAACTTCTCTTTTATCTTTCACAAGAGAAGACCCTCCATCTACAATCTCCTGGTAAATCTCCCCCTCTTCCCTCATCTCACTAAAAACATTGAACTTATTATTATGAGAAGGAAGATATTGGGCTTTAGAAATAGACCAGTTTCAGAATATGAAATATTCACTTGTGCTGAACAATCCCGAGCAGTAGCAGCAACTACTTTTGGAGGAGAATGCACATCTTCCATAGCAACATCCACCACAGCTCCTCCCTTAGCAACATCCACCACAATAGATTCCCTTTCAATTCTGACCGACTTCTAAATTGAACACAACATCACACACCGTGGGCCTCCTAGCTCCAGGATTTCTTAATTTTCTTTTCCCATAATTAATATGGACCCATGGTCCATAACTGTCTTCACCAACATAAGTATCACCATTCACCTTGTGATTATTAGTTGTGACTGAAGCCATAGGAGGAACTTCACCTATGCCAGCGATCTTAGGTTGCTTAGAACTATCTAGCACAATGTTCATCCTTATCTCCGGACAATTATTTTTCACATGCCCAATCTTGCCATAGTTAAAACAGAAAGTAGAAATCCTTTCATACTCTATCTTTTGAAAAGAATTTTCCCGAGCACCCCTCTACCCAAACACCAAGGGGAAGCTTGTTCTCTAACTTGATATGAACATAAACTCTAGCAAACTCTTTCCTGCTCCATTGAAACATGCTTCCATCAATCAAATACGGGGTACCAACCTTAGATGCAATCCTGCACAAGCAATTTTATCTCAACATCCACTTATAATACCTAAAATACCTAAAATATCCTACTATTTAACTTTTGGAGTTAACTTTAACTCCTTTAGGCCATGTGACCAAATTGATTTTTATTAATCGAGGGACTAAAATGGGTCAATGTGATACTCTGAGACTAAATTGGATATTTATTGATAGTCAGGAGACTATTTTGAGCTTTACTCATTTTTATGTGTTTAATGAGTATGATCATGCCTTAGTCCATATTCTCTATGGATGTACCCTATAAATTGTTTCAAGAAGCCTTGTGCTCATTCTTTGGTTTCATTCAAGATTTTAAAGAAAATAGGTGTAATGCTTGATTTGCCTTGAGTAAAACATTAATACTTTTTTAAAAATTGAAGTTGTATTACCTTTCAAGGGAAATTTCAAGCCACAAGAGTTGCCCACTGATGCTTTTTTTAGGTGGAGTTTTTTTCATAACATTTACTATTATTTTTTTATTTTGTTTTTAGTTCTACATTTTATAGCTTATGTTTAGCAAAATCTCAGTGATGAAATCAGAAATGTTAAATTGGTTTGCAACACTACTTGAGTATTTGAGATGTCTTTTGTATGATGATGTAATCGATGAGGGTTTAAAGCGCATTTCCTGTTGACCTACTCAAGCAATCCACAAGTTAATTGTGTCAAGTGTGATGTAGGCAACGACATATAATTTGATAAAAGATTAGCTCAATTAGTTGCACATTTTAGAAAATAGACTAATTTGATGAGTTTGGTATGCCAAGATGGTCCAAAAAAGCCATTTGTATTTGTCTGTGATGCTGCTTGAGGGGAGGAATAAATTTGAATATGGGAAAAATTTTGCGGGAGAACTCTCCCACATCATTTGTTAAAATTAATAATAACTCTAAAATAAAAATTAGTGTTTTTTAATTATTAAAATTAAAAGAAAAAATTACTACCGTAGAAATATAATAAAAAGTATTACCATAAAAATTATTATATTATTTTTATTATTATTTAAGAAAATTAAATAGGTAGAATTTTTTGTGTGTTGTAATTAACAAAATCAAGGGGGTTTTACCCCTGCCAATTTTTTCATGTGCCGCAGCAACAACGCCAAGTGACCCTACTTGATTTTCTTTTTAATCAATGGGCTAAAACATTTGTTCAACCTTAACACTTCAAATTATGTCTCAAGCTATAATTGAGTTGAATTCAAGCTATGCATGAACCATCAAGCTTTTTAACACCTTTAATGTCAAGAATGATAATGTACATGAACCATCAAGCTTTTTTGACACAAAAATGAGAATGTATGTTGGATGCTCAATAAAAATACAAATATAATGAGAAATAATTATTAGAGATGCATTGGAGAATCCATTTGAAGGAAGGGTAATAAAAGATAGACTCATTGTTATTGAGCACATACAACAAAGGGTAAAAGTTAGGGTTGTGAAAATCGGACAAGAAAAATTAGCTAAAAATTAAGTTTTTAATATTGCATAATTAAATAATTAAATATATTAAAATTAGATATTAATAATTACAAAAATAATATTATTTACATTATAAAAATTAATTAAAAATATGTTTAACATTTTATAGTTTATGTGTTGTAAAGTTGAGAATTTAACTTTGACATAATATTGTTGCTTTTTTGGTTTGAAAGAGTTAACAAGTCAGATGGATAGTAGGATCATGTGAATAAGCTTCGTTGGAGCTTGTTTGATTAATAATTATTATAAAAATTTATAAGTGATTTTAAAATTAACATATATTAAGTTTAAATTAATTTATTAAATTTAACATTTTATATTAAATTTATTAAACTAATTTGTTTAATTATGTAAAGAAGATAATAAATTAATTGACCGGTTCTTAAAAGCTGGACGGTTCAACGGGTTCACTGTTGAACTGCCCGTTTGGCAATTGAATCGTCGGTTTGACCGATTTTCCCTTCTTCAATGCAAAATCGATTTTAGAAATAAATTAGGCTGGCTAATAGACGTTGAACGGGTTGGTTTAGTCTGGTTTTCAAAAATTGGTAAAAGTTGCACCAATAAGAAGGTCATGTGAATTAATTCGGAAGAATTTTTGGAAAATGATTATAAGAAAATAAACACAATAGAGATTGTGAAAATAGTTGGAATAATGCTGATGATTGTATTCCTTTTGATTCATTTGTCCAATTGAGGTTTGGGTTAGGTTTAACCGATGTACTGTTTAATTTAGATAGTTTGAACATACTTGAGTGCTTGCACTTTTAATAGAAGCATTTTTATTATAATAAATCACAGTATTCCTTGGTGCTTTTCTAAATGAATTAAACTATGAACTCGTTTCTTTGGCATGATTTAGATATTGAACATTGAAGTCTTTTGTTTTCCCATTTGTCCTTAATATTTTTGCATTTGCAGGCTTGCATCATTATAGTTTTGCACCTATAAAATATGATGACAACATCCTTCTTCACAAAGATCAAGACATTGATTTATCTAGATCAAATACAGATAAGAGAGAAACCACAAAGTGCGACTTAATGTTGGACATGCTATCAGAGAAGGAAAAGGTGTCTCTTTGCCCCAATGTATTGTTTTTATTCAATGCTTGCATAGATTATGTTGCTATATGCAATACAGCATTCAACTATCTGTTTTCATGTCCTCAGGGATATGTGTTTTTATGAAATAATACCTTCTCACTTGCCTCTTCTTTCGTGCATGAACTATCTCACTTGCATCTACATACTAGTTTTTTAATAAATCGATATACGGTATATTATTTGTGTGCTGAGCTATTCAACTATAGATATACCAATTACCAACTGACCATATTATATTCTTTCATTTGTTTCCTCTATCAATTAGTAGAGATTGTTCCTGTAAATATTTGTGTGCTGAGTTATTCATTTTATTAATAAGATTACCTTGTCCAGAAAATGATAATGGAGGACTTGGTCAAAATCCAGAATAATGGCACTGTGGAGGTTCATGTAGCTCAGAATGCTCCAGTAGCAACAGAATTGTTGAAACTTGATGCTATTGATTTTTCATATTCTGAGTTCGAAGATGATATATATGGATTCAACAAATCAATCCCTAAACTGAAGATTGCAATGCTTGTTGTTGGAACAAGAGGAGATATACAACCTTTCATAGCTTTTGCAAAGAGATTGCAGGCATGTGTATCTGTTCTATTTTATAATATATTTTTTGCATTTTTTTGTTTCATTTTCACTTTTTAACATCAGCTGTATTAACATTTTTTTCAATCATCTAGGCGAAATACTAGACTGGATCAAATAGAGTCACTTTGAATGTTTATTAGATGGAACTTTGTTGACTTATTTGTAGTCAATTGTTTTGTAAATTGTGCTGAATTCATTACCTAAAAAAAAAGTTCGTCAGTGCTTAGCCACTCCATTAAGCTAATAACTTTCCATTAGGAATCGGTTGATTTTATGATTTGGATATGAATTCAGAATTTTTATTTTGATATTAATTTTATAGTTATGTTATTACCGAAATTTTATTATTTTAGGTGGGGTGCCATCAATCCCTAATATTTTAATTAAATAACAAAAAGAAATTGAACTTTTGCCAAAAAGATTGATTTATTTGTCCTTGGTGGATCGGGGTGGGGGTGGGGGCTTAGGATTGATTTAGTTAATATTATTAATTTTATTATTCTTGATCACACATGTAATCTACAATTTGACCGAATCAAACACGATGACAATAAAGATTGGCGGATATAGCTTTAGAAAAGATTAAAGTGGAACTATCCCAATTGCATCATATTTTGCACCAAACTCTTTGTTATTTTACGAAAATAACAAAAATAAATAGAAAAGAAAAAGAACAAAAAATACCCTCGCCTTTCCTTTCAACAAAAAACCCTTGCCTCTCCTCTATATGTAGCTATCTAAGCCTCCTGCAACGGCCTCTCTTCCTTTGGTGATCTCTCTCTTTCGCCCTACCTCTTTCTTTTCCTTTCTATAAATTTCCTCCGCCCACCTGATAAACATGTTCTCGGCCTTGTGTAAAGTTTATGAAATGATCTGTTTCTTTTCTTAGTTCTCATATGCCGATTTTTCAATGCGGTTGGGAGTTTATTATTGTAGTATTTTATGGTTTTATTTTTTGTAGGAGTTTATTTAAATCTTTATTTTGATCTATATTACATCTTTTTTAGTATGGGAGGTATAAACATTACTTGCATAGGTGTTCAACATGCCACCTATATGAATCCTTTTTGATGCAATAAGGGACTTGTGGTGTCCCATACACAACACATGCATGCTTTTTTTGGTGTGTTAGGAAGGCCTTGCATATTGTCAAGAACTTGGGGGGGGGGGGGGGGGGGTGGTTGTTGTAGGAGTATTGTCAAAATTTGTAAAAAACCTATGTATGTATTTAAACAAAATTACTCTTGAGATATAATTTACTTGGAAAAAAATCTATGTACAATAGAGAAAGCACTTTAAATTGTAGTACATTTATTGAAAAAAGAGCAAATAATGAAGAAAAAATGGATTTCAATAAACTTCATTAGTTCACCAAAATGTGTAAAAAAAAAAACTCCTTGCTACCTCCTTACATTATGAAATCAAATGGGACATGGATGCACAACCTCTCTGCTTATAGATGTGAATTCTTCCCTTGTGATCCAACTAGTTATTGATGCACACAAAATATGAGTAAGGTAACTTCATTTTAAGTACTCACAAAGACTAAGTTTGGACATAGACCTAAGAAAACATGCTAGTGAGCTCAAATGCCCTCAAGTGAGTGCCAAAAAGTGTGCAAACACACATTGAAAAGTGTGCAAGCATGCTTCGAAAATCATGAAAATTTCCTTAACAGCATCTAGACCTACTTTTTGAATCAAACTTATCACATCTCATCAATACTGAGTTGAGGGTGCGAGAGAAGCTTATGATATTTTATGATTTTTTTGAATAAACATGTTCAAAAAAGAGGAAAAGAAAAAAAATACTACGACGCCCACAACAACAACAACAACAACAACAAGCCTTCATCCCACTATGTGGGGTCGGCTAAATGAATCTTTTTTCTCCATTGTGCCCTGTTAAAAGTTAAATTTTAATTTAAATCTAATAAAGAAAGGTCATTTCTAATATTTTCTAACCAACTCTTTTTAGGTCTACCTTTACCCTTCTTCAGATAAGTCAAATCTAATACATTTACTTTTCTAACTGGGTCATCAGAAGGCCACTGTTTTTTGTGTCCAAAACATCTAAGGCGACTCTCTCTATTCTTATGTTCCACTGGAGCTACTCCAACCTTTTCACCTATATGCTCATTTCCTATCCTGTCTCTAAAAGTAAAGCCACTAATCCACCTGAGCATCCTCATCTCTTCAATACTTAACTTAATATTATGCTTCTCTTTTAATGGCCAACATTTCGCACCATAAAACATTGCAGGTCTAACCACCATCTTATAGAATTTTCCCTTAAGTTTGAGGGGGACTTTTCTATCACATAACAAGCCCGATGCATTCCTCCACTTCAACCATTCAACTTGATTCTATTGATAATATTCCCATACATTTCACCATTACTCTAAACAATAAACCCAAGATATCTAAAACATGTACTCTTATTAATTACTTCATCACCCAAAGTCATAATCCCCCCATTAGAACTATTATTACTAAAATTGCTTTCCATATATTTAGTTTTAAATCTACTTAAACGAAAGCCTTTAGCCTCTAAGGCTGACCTCCATAATTCAAGTTTACCTTCAATTCTCTCTCTAGTCTTATCAACAAGAAGAATATCATCAGCAAAAAGCATACACTAGGGTACATCTCATGCAAATGTTTAGTGAGAACATTCAAGACTAAAGCAAAAAGATATAGGCTTAAGGCTGATCCTTGATGATCCAACTGAAATAGGAAAATACTTGGTCAAACCACCTTATGTCTGTACACTAGTAACATCTCCTGCATACATATCCTTAGTGACTTGAATATAAGCATTATTAACCCTTCTTTTCTAGAAATCTCCATAGCACTTCTCTTGGAACTTTATCGTACGCTTTCTCAAAATCAATAAATATCATATGTAGATCCTCCCTATTCTCTCTATACTTCTCCATCAAACCTCTTAATAAATGTGCATGCATGCCAATATAAGCAACTTATAGGTACCAAGTAGGTTCACTTGCCCTAAGGAGCATTCCAGAGCAAGGTTAGAGATAGGTAGGTAGTCATCCAAATGAAGCTTGCATTATAGGAGTTTGCACTTGAGGAGCTTGATTATGGAGGCACATATTTCGAGCAAATTTGACCAAAGAACTTGTCTTAATAAACATTCACTTAACGTAGTTTCCTTATGAAGATTCGACTCTTTCTGTGATTTTCCTTAATCAAGGCCATCTATCTTTCATAGATATCCCCACTCAACCTACTACTGGAAGCACACACATACAAATCCCATAGTCATGGCTCCATCAACTGTGTTTGTCCCCAGGTTAGAGCCACTTGCATGGAATATTTGTTTAGAAGTTTTATCTCTCACCCCAAGGGACTCACCACTTTTTTGGGTTGTTTCCCTTTGTAGATTTTCCTAGGATATTCATCATGGAGGACTCATCCAGGGCACTCAGTTTGAGGACTCACTTAAAGCACTTGCCTCCAAGGACTCGCCACCTATCTATGGTACTTGCCAAAAATGTTAAGAGCAATGTTATAGATAGGTAGTCACCTGTGTACATTTTGATCTAGTCCATGTGTCTGGACTTGTTTTTACTTATCTAATTAGTTATCATTTATCATTTTTTCTTAGGTGTACTTTTTCATGTTACCCTCTTAATTTTATAAATAAATGATTAAGAGACATATTTTGCACTTCATGTTATTTCTGCTACACAAAGATTATTCGATTTTTAATTGCTCTCCATACCCACTGACCTCACTCCTATTTTATTGCTTGATTGGCACTTTTTCCTATGGACCAAGTATTTAGAAGTCACAATTTTGAAAATTATAATCCTCGTTGTCCAAATGTTTGGAAACCATATTTTCATTCTGGTTTAGAAGTCTTTGAAATTAAACAAGCATACAAACAATGGTAGAAAATTTCTCCATTTTTATAGTTGAAGTGCTTCACTATTAATTTTGTAGCTTTTATTGGTTGAGTGGGTCTGGAATGGCTGGTTTGGTTGTCATTGAAATGGTATTTTGTAGTGATAAATCAGCGTAGTTTATGAGCTATTCTCAGTCTTTTCTTACTGCATATATGCATAACCAACTTCGTTTTTTTATTATTTTTATTTTATTTTACTTATTTATTTATTTTATGTTGTTAACGCATTTTGGGTTTGCTCATGCAGGAATTTGGTCATCATGTTAGGTTGGCAACTCATGTTAACTTCCAAAATTTTGTACGGTCAGCTGGTGTTGATTTTTATCCTTTAGGAGGTGATCCTCGGATAATGGCTGGATGTAAGTTCCATTGAAGGCATCAAATATATTTAAAGTTTTAACTCTAATCAAAATATTGTAATCGGTAAAATCCCACTTTTATATTTCAATAATTCTTCTCATAGTATCCAACTTCATTGCATCCATTAGTGGAACCTTGTTTTAATGTTGCTTTTCCTCCTTGCTTTTTGAATATGTTTCAATGTTTTCTTGTGCTGATGGATATTCCTGCTTAAAAAATCGATATAGGCAACTTATGCTGCTAATTTTTGAAATTTATAAAAAATGGATATCATCCGATCAACATTGTACTAGCGAAATAAGCTGACATGGTATTTCGTTATGACAACAACAGATATGGTAAGAAACAAGGGTTTTCTACTATCCCGTCCGGCAGAAATATCGATACAAAGGAAGCAGCTTAAGGAGATTATAAATTCTCTCCTCCCTGCATGTACAGAACCCGACTTAGAAACTGGTGTACCCTTCAGAGCTCAAGCACTTATTGCAAATCCTCCTGCTTACGGTGAGGTTATAACTTTTCTAAGTGTACATGAAAATAAACTGTCATTTATTTTATCTTTTACATACATATGAAAACAATCCTCTTTTCTTTTGTTTTCAACTGCTTAAGTTATGTGACCTAAGAATGAGATTGGTTTATCGGTTTGGAGTCGGTCAAGGGCTGAATGCTTGACTTGGACACCCTCTGCTGATGCCCTGGCCTTGGGGGAAACTTGCTAGTAGTTTTGAGATACTTTGATATTTTTATTGTTTCCATTGCGTAGCATTTTTTCTAAGATACCCTGAAATCAAAAAAGGTAAGCTTCAATCCCGTAGTATTTTTAAAAGAGTTGTCACTCATCGGACTTATGCATTTGATTAACCAATATCCAAAAGGGTTATATTGACCTGCACACTATTTCAACCAGGTATATAATTTTTGTATGTTATAAACATGTTTTCAACCGGTATTTTATAATTGATATAAACCAGTGTTATATTATGATAAAATATGATTTGAAGGATTTAATTTTATGATATTCAATTAAGTTACTAATTAAAATATATTTTCCACAATTTGATCTTGCACTGAATTGTAATGATCATCATGTTGTGGAAGGAGCTATATGACTGAGAGAGTTCTTAAGTGAATTGAAGATCGTTTGGCATCGTCTGGATACCACCTGAAGGTCCTGAGGATGTTGCATCGGCTAAGGGCAGTGCACTCAAGGAAGAGAATGTACTAGTGGTGTAAAATCCTACAACATTGATGTTTTGAATGGTTATGCAAATGCAGATGATACAAATGATGGAGAAGATACAATCTCTGGTAGTGCCTGCATCACTTTAAGGCTTAATAGTTCAGTAGAAAGTTGACCTTTATTTTTATTTTACGTAATTTTTGGATTTTGAGGCTCAAAACGTCTTGCCTCACAAATAAAAAACGTCTCAATGCCCAATTGCGCAATTTTAAACCTTGCCGTTGAGTATAGAGATAGAAAAATATTTAAAACTATTTCAGAGTTTAAAGCCACCTCTATTCAAGGGAGGAGTGCATGTACGAGTTGTTCAGAACTGGCTGATCATAATTGAAAAGATCTTAAACAGAATGAAATGTCTCAGTGAAAGAAGGGTGTCCTTAACTATTTTTGTATTAGATGGTGAAATAGAAAGGTGATTGAGAGGTCAACATTTAGAGAAATTTGATTGTATACATGAAAGAGTTAATCTCTTGGGAAGAGCTTGAACAAGTGTTTAGAGATTGATATGTCCTCCATTGGCCAGAAAGGCGATGTAGAAGAGCTTTGTGAAACCGATTTAAGGCCAAGATTTTACTTCAATATGAGGCAGAGTTTACATCTTTATTGAGATATGCTTATAGCTTATCAGCACTCATGTGGAGAAAAACTACAAGTTCAGTTTGAGCAATCAGCTGTGGCAACCTCTTATCCCTTTGAGCATTAAAGAGTTTTTTGAGCTGGTTGAGAGTGCACGATTGTTGGAGAGAAATTTTGAAATGGTAAAACAAAGATGGGGTATAGGCAATTAGAAGAGGGCATTTGATAGAGAGGAGATCAATTTAAGAAACAAAAGTTTATTTCAAAGCAACAATAGAAGCAACAACAACAAAAAGCTAGAGGGTCTCACACGATATCATTTTCTACTACATGTAAGAACCCTCATTTAGGAAAATGCTAGAAAAATTCGAGACAATGCTACTTCTTTGGAAAGCCCATACATATAATGAGAAAAATGCCCCTCAAACTTAAGGGAAAATTCTATAAGATGGTGGTTAGACTTGCAATGCTTTATTGTGCAGAATGTTGGCCATTAAAAGAGAAGCATAATATTAAGTTAAGCGTTGCAGAGATGAGGATGCTCAGGTGGATGAGTGGCTTTACTCTTAAAGACAGGATACAAAATGAGTTTTAGGTGAAAAGGTTGGAGTAGCTCCACTGGAAGATAAGATTAGAGAGAGTCGCTTTTGATGGTTTGGTCACATAAAATGGCTGCCTTCCGATAACCCAATTAGAAAAGTAGAGATTTGACTTATGTTAAGAAGGGTAGAGGTAGACCTAAAAAGACTTGGTTAGAAAATATTATAAATGACCTTTCTTTATTAGATTTAAACGAGAATTTAACTTTTAGAAGGGCACAATGGAGAAAATGATTCATGTAGCCTACCCCACATAGTGGGATAAAGGCTTGATGTTGTTGTTTTTGTTGAATCAGTATTGTCTAGAGAAAGCTAATGTAGTGGTTGATGTATTGAGCAGGAAATCTAGTGGACAAGTTAATTGGATTCTACCTCAAGAGAATGAATTAATTAAAGAGATTACATTCTTGCAATTGGAAGTGATCAACCTGAATGATCAAGTACCCAGTAGACTATATCAAATGATCGTGCGTCCTACTTTAAAGTGAGTTTGAGAGGCACAAAAAGATAGTGGGGAATACTAGGGAGTTAATGGATCAAATTCATTTAGGAAAAAGGCAGGATCTCAGCCTTGATGATTAAGCATCGATCAGAAGTAAGGGATAACTTTAGGCCCCAGGAGATTCTTATTTGACTTGAGATCTCAACTGAATCTCACCTTTCAAGTTACTCCATTCACCCTTGTAGTACAAAGATGTATAAAGACTTGAAATTATTATGGTGGTGGTCTGGAATAAAGAAGGATATAGGTGATTTTGTGGTTAAATATAAGTCATGCCAGGTGGTGAAAGTTGAATATCAAAAACTTAGTGGATTGTTATTGTCATTGCCTATACTTGAATAGAAGTGGGAGGGCATGGCTATGGATTTTTTCATAGGTTTTCCAAAGTCTAAGGAAGGGCATGCTTGTATCTAGTTAGTAATTGATAAGTTAATACAATTGATGCACTTCTTACCTATTCTTCAGACAGATTTAATGGAGAAGTTGACAAAATTGTTTATGATAGAAATTATCAAATTTTATGGAATTTTGAAAGTTACTGTATCAGGCAGAGACGACTGGTTTACATTCTGATTGTGGAATGACATTCATAAAGATTTGGTTATTAAATTGAATCTCAGTAAAACCTGTTATCTACAAACAGATGATTAATAAAAAAGGATTATTCAAGTGTTGGAAGACTTGCTAAGATTGTATTTTTAAGACTTTGATGATAGTTGGGAAGATCATATTTCTTTGATTGAATTTGCTTATGTTGACCTTAGTGTTATACCCAAAGAAGAAAAATGAGGACTCAAAATCATACCAGGAACCCTATCGGATCCAAGAATCCCGCTGGCAGAGTCGCTCCCGCAAATCCCGCTTCGTACCTCGTATCCTTCGAAGGCATCCCCGAAATCCAGCTTAAATCGGCGTCGCTTCTGTCCAAACCCCGTAAATCCTGCGAAAATCCTGCGAGCTGCCTCGCATAATGATCCCATTCGCGCCTATAAAACACGACCGACGCCTTCTCTTCTTCCATTTTCACGGTCGCTGCTCACACGAAGCTACGAACTCCTCCACACGAGCTCCCCTCGCTATTCCCTGCTTCCCCTCGTTGCTTCTCCTCCCGAAATCCACGAGCTCCTCTCTCGTTCGATTACCTCCCGACCTCATCTCCTTTCCTCTGCTGTAGCCGAATTCACTCCAAACTCCACCTTCACTACAGGAAAACCCGTCATTACCAGCGGACTAAATCCGCCGGAACACATAGATAATCCGACAGAACTATAAGTTTCCGGCGCACGTTTCGGTGGAAATGCATACGCCGGTTTTGGTCGCGTTGATAAATTTTTTTCCGACGAATGTAATGCGCCGGAAAACTTTCCGGCGCACTTCCCGAAGCATTACCGGCATAAAACATCGGATTGGTGCCGACGACTTACAGCCGATAAATTGCGGCGCCATATGCGCCGGTAAGTTTCTGTCGGATTTTCCGCCGGTAAGTACCGGCATACAAAACGCCGCAAGGTCGCCGTAGACAACCCACGGCTTTGTTTGCGGCGCAAAGTTGTTGCTGGAAATAAGCGGCGGAAATTGTGCCGGATCATGCGCCGGTAGTTGCTGACGGAAGGAAGACGTCGATACGTCCGATAGAATTCGTTGTATCGTTCGTTCCGGCGGATTTCCGGCATACAATCCGCCGGAAACCTGTAGCATTGACAAAAAAAAAATTCCTTCCCAGCCAACAATCAAATTTCAACACCTGCAAACCTATACAAATATCAATTCCACAACATTTCAATAGTAACATTTCAACAGATCAACATTTTATAACAAATTCACAACAGTTTCACAACAGTTTATAACATTAAAAGAAACTGTTAAATAGTAACAATCAACAAAAAACATCAGATTAAAAGAAACTGTTCAATAACACATGTTCACAGAAATAAACAAGTTCATGTAAACTAAATTAAACTACTCTGACTCCGTGGACTCCTCCTCAGGTGGAGCTACGTCTTTTCCACTCAGCTGATTCCTCATCTTGCGCATTTCATCCAACAACTGATTGTGTTGCTCCGTACTTGTTTGAATATGTGCTTGCAGCTGAGCTTGAACCTGTGCTTGCAGCTGAGCTTGAACCTGTGCTTGCAGCTGAGCTTGCCAATCAGCTTGTGATTTCCTTACTTGTTCTAGCTCAGCTTGAAGGGCACTTATTTATTGAGCTTGTAAGGAGTCATGAGAACTAGATGCGAAGCTGGATGCAGTAGAGGATGTCATCC